CCCCAAAACCCCAAAACCCCAAAACCCCATTCGATAAGTAATGCATTATTTTATAGTAACGTAATAATTTTAAATTTAAAAGTTTCACTAAAGATTTTAATGCTTGAAATTTTTCAGCATTAATTTTAAACAAGCAAGATATTGAAAATATAATAAGATAACAACATATGCACAAAGCTATGGATCTTCATCATCATCCTTAAAACTTTCAGTTAAGAGTGTCTATTGAGGTCCCAAACACTCCAAGATTCATAATGACATTTGCGAAAGAGTAATACCTCAATGTCAAATAATTTATCTCACATGTCTGCTAATAAACAGGCCTCGATGAATCTTAGAAATATTTACTCATGCTTGATGATGCAGTGATTGTGAGTATAGAATCTATTAGAGATAACGATAGACTATGTCTTGTTCAAGCAAAAGCTATTATTTAAGATTAGAAACAATAAACCTTCTGCTAAAATGTTGCACCAGGAGCTCAAAATAATACCCAAGAGTAAATGGGAACTCCAATGATTTAAAATCTGAATCATCAAGTAAACCCGAACAATTAAGTTACAACAAATGTAAGATTGAATCCTGAGACCCCCGGAAAATTTTTGTTAGATACCTTCAAACAATCTAACTCAATATAACCTACTTTACAGGTCAACCTGGAACCCTCAATGATTCCAATGAGAAGGTGACAAGCAGTCCCAACCTATAACCCACTTAATGTTGAAAAAAGTGAAGTTGAACTAGGTTTATCAACTGAACTCGAAAATAGCGGTCAAATACCAATATAAAAGAATTGCAGAGATATTATATTATTCAAAACAGTGTAGTCTTACACTTTTAAGCAAGTTGTTGGCTATGTTAAATATGCGGCAATTCAAAATGGCTTTAGAGTATTATGCGAAAGTAAAGAGCCTATTCTTGGGAAAGATAACTCATAAAAAATTTTCTTCTGTTGTCATTTTAAGAATTAAAAATGTTAATTCAGACTTTAATATGTAAAAAGAAACCTGGGAGAGCCATTTAAATTTTACAAGGCTTGAGATATTCATAATCATGATTTCGTTAATCCAAATGATTTGTTCCGAGACCCATCGAAGTAAACAGTTAATCAAAGCAATTAAAGTTTGTTTTAACAAAATCCTCAGTAATAAAACTAGTAGCAATATGGTTAATAAATTTAGATTTCATTATAGGAAAATCAGTAGGTACTTCAAAGCTTATAAAATTAATTCAACCAGATTAATGATGGCTTAAAGTTAAATATAAATAATTATCCTGATAGAGCTACCCAATAGCATATAAAGCTAGAAGATGATACTACAAGTAGTACCGCTATATCAAATGAAGGAAGTATCTAAAGTGCATCTCAAAATCCACCTTAAATTAGTTGTGTTTAAGAAGAACAGAACATTTAAAATCGAATATGAATCTGAATCGATGATTCTACATTAAATAAGCTAATTAATTTCATAAATTTCACAATTTGAAAATTACATTATAGATATTGATTTAGGGGTTTTGGGGTTTTGGGG